CTCAATAAGTATATTGAGTATGCTCTACACTTATAGCTCTTAATTAAGGCATAAAAGGTTTCTTTCTTTGCCTAAATATCCTCAGCCTTACTTTCTGAACTACCCCTTTCCCCTTAAGCTTTAATGTGAGATTATTTGCTGTCACCTGAACACTTCATGATTTTTTCATGCATGCATTTCCTTTGTCAGAAATTATAATCTTCTATACACATGCAGACACCACAGTAAATGTTTACTAACCCTTTAACACCATTTGGGAATCATATCATTCAAAGAGCTCTCTCTGATTTGCTTTGGCAAAATCAGATACTCTACAATCTTTACCACTTTGTAACTGACATCAAATGATTATTGTACCTAGCATATTGCGTGCTAAGCCCCTTCAGTCATGTCCAACTCTTTGCGACCCAACAGTCTGTAGCCTGCCAGCCTCCTCTTGTCCATGGGATTTTTCAGGCAAGAATACTGGAGTGGGTTGTCACGCCCTTCTCCAGGGGCTCTTCCTAACCCCGGGATTGAACCTGGGTCTCTCATGTCTCCTGCACTGGCAGGCAGGTTCTTTACCACTAGTGCCACCTGGAGGGCCCCACCTAGCATATCATGTTGCAATTATTTGCTCATGTTTGTTTTTTCTATTGGCTAACAAGCTCCTTAAAGGCTAGGGCTGTTTTATCTATCTTAACATCTCCAGAAATCAATACAGCACTCCAGACATGCTAAGAAATATAAAAACACTTTGTAAGTGGTGGTGATTTACAAGTATATTATTACTGTAAATTAAATTATGTTCAAGTATTCTGGATTTCGAAGGTTTAAAATATCTCACCATCTAAATAAAATTGTTTTTACAATTTTGGCTCTGATCTTCCAAAGGCTTATCTTTTGAAGAGCACTTGCTGTTATTCAAAGGATATGCTGGGCTAAGGAAAGCTTAGAAGCAATGTGAAGTCAAAATCATAATTTGCTTAAAAGAAGCAATAGTTAAAAGAAGCTTAAAAGAAGTTCTTCTGGGAATAAAGAATAGGCCTATTGTGATTTAAATCTGTTGTTTTATAAATATATACACAGAAATACACATATAATGTATATATATGAACCAGGACTATTTACTTTAAATTTCCAAAGAAATGTTTTATATATTCAGTTCTTATAACATAGTATGTATAATTAGGCACTCAATAAACACAGGCTTTAAAAAATTTTTTTTAAAATTTTATATTGGAGCATAGTTAATTAGTTATGCATTAGCTTCAGGTGTAGAGCAAAGTGATTCAGCTGTACATATATATATATATATATTTATTTAATGAACATGAATCTGAGCAAACTCTGGGAGACAGTGGATAGGGAAGCCTGGCGTGCTTCAGTCCACAGGGTTATAAAGAATCGGACGTGACTAAAAAGCAACAATTCTTTTTCAAATTCTTTTCCCATTTATGCTATCATGGAATACTGAGTCAAGTTCCATGTGTTTTACAGTAGGTCCTTGTTGGAATAAACACAGGCTTTTAAGGATATTGAAGAGCAAATAAGGAAGGCACCATTAAGAATATTAGGCTCCTGTTTTACAGGAGGCTCAGTCTTGAGATTTCCTTGGGAAGTGATAGCTCACCATGATCCTGTTATAAAATATGCTTCTGAAATTAATTATATGCTGGTCATCTGTTCAGTAAATTCAAGGGTTAAGTCTAATTTTCTGGAGGGGAAATTTATTAACAAACTAAATTAGTTAAATTTCCTCAATTTTTGGCCTAAATTTGTTATACTAGGCTACAATGGCAACAAGATAGAAGAAAGTCACTAAGAACAATATACATTTTGGAGGGCCTGTATCAAGTTCAAACAAACAAGCTCCTTGCCTTCTGTAAAACCATTCACTAATGAGAAAGAATCCAAGAAGCCATGTGTCCTTGGAGACTAAATCTGCCCTTTCTGGACTATGTAATACCTACACCTTAAAGAATGCTGGTTAGGGACCTGCAAAGCCAGGTTGAAATCCCAGTGCCACAGTGGATAACCTAAAGAAGTCATTTATCCAGCACTCCATCGTCTCATCAGTAAAAAAAAGAGTGGGCTAAAGTGACAAGACCTCAGTCCCTTCCAGCTCTGACACCCTACAAGGCTAGTGATCATTATCCTATAGTCTGAATTTGGCTGGGTCTAGACTTTACCTAGGGAAGCAGGGAAGACTTTATTGAAGCAAAGAGAAAGAGAGGATTAATTGCTATTTTATATTAATACTACCATTTGCTTTCATATTACTTTCATCAGCTATACAAGTTACAGAATAAAGCTTTCTATTTAAACCAATAGTATTGGGGATCCCTGGTGTTCCAGTGGTTAAGACCTCGAGCTTCCACTGCAGTGGGCATGGGTTTGGAGCTAAGATCCCACATGCCTTGCCATGTGGCAAAAAGAACAAAAAAACACAACAAAACCCCCCAAACCTACCACCAACCAAACAACAACAAATCTCTCTAAAAAATCCCAGTATTCCTATGTCAGATCACTCAACTCCAAATGAACACAGACTCACTTAAAATAATAATAATAATAATGACCTTAATTTTGTCTGTTTCATTATGGTTTCTGGACAGTTTTGCCCTTTGTATTCTTATATTCACATTAAAATAAAAGTACCCTCTTTACAAAAATCCATCCAGTTATACACATAACAGATATTTGCACACTTTCTGTATGTATACTATCTTTCAATTTTAAAAGTTTACTTTTAAAAAAAGGGCAGTCAAAATATAGTCAGAATACAGGTTTCCTGAAATCTAAACCGAAGTACTATTTTTGTTAGGCATAACCTCAAACTGGCTCGCTTGGAGCAAGTCTCATTCTGGTAACAAGATCAAATATTCTGTTGCTTAACCTGTGTGAGAAGGCTTCTGTCTAAGGAAGCCAGAAAATCTATGTCCAACTTAGTGTAACATGAGCTTGGGGGATTTTCTGGGGCAGGGCAGGGGGTAAGATGTGAAATGTTGGAAGTTTATCTGGTCAGCTCTTTTGCCAAGAAGTAGAAAGGCCAAGTCAAAAGTCATGTGGTCCATGAGCAGAGTATCACAAAAAGCTTCTGTAAATAATTTGAAATGAGACTGGGAACTAAATACTTGGTAGGAAACTCTCTCAAACACCTTATTTGTAAAACTGGAAGAATATTTACCAGAGTAATATTGTTAACAGCACTGTTGAAAAAAATCAAACAAGGCACTGACCTGATGGTATTTAAAAAACAGCTAATAGTAACAGCAATTGTACCAATAGTAGTAGTAATAGCAGTTAACATTTATCGAGCATGTTGCAATCATTGTTCTAAACACTTGTATTTACCAATTACCCTCATTTGCTATCCCATCCTGTATCTGTTAATATTATCTGCATTTTTAGAGATGAGCAAACAGAGGCACAGAGTAATCAGGTAATTTGCCATAAGTCACACAGTTAGTAAGTGATGGCGTCAGGATTCAACCAACATGATTCCAGAACTCGAGACTCTCTAAACCAGCAACTGTACTATTGTCTATTTAGCAAAAAGTCCACCCCAAGGTTGCCATGTAAATGGGTGCAGCTATCTTGGAATAACCGGTTAGACTGTGGATGGTCCCATACTTCTAGAAGACTCAGGCCATGTTTGAGAAATACTCAGTTCAATGTCTTTGGGGAAACACAGAAACTCTTAAATTGCCTATTCTTCCTTAGAGGAAGAAAACTTTTGTAATACTTCTCCCAAATGAGTCTAAGCAGGGTCATTTTGTTAGAATCAACAACAGTAAAACAAAATGTTTTGAAATAATTTTAACATATTGATAGCAATCAATTATTTGTATCATGAGTTTAAAAGATTTTAAGAGACTTCTTTGAACTGATAACAGTAACTGCCTGTGCTGGGTCTGTCCATAAAATAAAAACTGATGCAGAAACGGTTGTTAGAGTATTGTCTGAACCACTCACCATTAAAGCAGTTTTAACTTGGCTGTTAAAGAACCCATTCAAAATGTTTAATAGTCACTGACCTGGGGGTAGTACCTGTCCCTATGTGAACTAAAGTCTCCATTAAACCCACCCTTCGACCTCAATGAAGGTGGGCAATCAAAGCTGTCCAAGAGTAGTTAGAATCAAGAAGAGTTGGTCCGGCTGGCTTTTCACAAGCTGGAAAGAAGAGAGGGCAGAACTGCCCAGTCTTTTCCATATGCTGTGCCTGCATCAGAAGAGGAGAAGTGTTTTGTACTTGGCTCATAGATGGAATGGGCGCTGTAATAAGTTACATCCTTATCTTACTTACCCTACAATGTATGGGAACCAAACAGGAGTTTTGGGGTTTTTTTTTAATACCTAAGAAAACACTCTGCAATTCCCCCTTTTGGAAGGAACCTTAAAAATAATTAGGTCACAGTGTTCAACTTATAACTACATACAGAAGTGAATGAAACACAAGATTTGACCCTGAGGTCATCCCTTATGGAATATGATCTGGGAAACCCAGACTGGTCCTGCCAACCAAAACAAGGGGTGGTAAATTAAGTCTTTCTAAGTTCACTTTAGGACCTGGGAAAGTAAGAAGCTAGTGAAATAATTATAATTCCTAGTCCTTTGGATAAAACAAAAGGAAGGGATGATGCAATACTCTGAAGATAGAAGCACAAAAGAAAAAAAAGTTTCTAATAGAAACAACAGATATACTTCCTAAATTCACCCAAGACTAGAAGGGGCAAAAGAATGGTTTATTTAGATCTCTACCACAGAAAGACTAACCATAGGACTTTTTGCTTGTGAAACAACATCCAGAATTCCCAAGAGTACAACAGACATATCACAGACTGTGGTACTGGTTACAGAATTAGAAAGGTCATAAAAATTCCATTCATGTGAAAATACTGTATCTCCAAAGCATGAAGAAATATACAAAACATGATATTTGTGCTAACTTAATTTTGTTAAATGTATTAAGTGACAGAAATCATTATTGCTCGTCATAAGGGAAACAAACAATGTACCTGAGATAGCTTCCAAAATAAGCAACAATATTTGGGTGTTTACAGTCTTTCATCATAATAATTTCTTGCTGCACAACTGCAAAGTCTTCTCCTAGAATAAAAAACAAGCATGTTGAATATTTAGTAGGTAAATTTCAAAATGTTAATTTGTTTCAAAACATAATAAATTATGCTGATATGATTTTTAATGACAACTTCAGTCCTTTCTTGACAGAAAGTAAAGTACAGCGATTAAAAGTATGAACTCTGGCCCCAGACTATGTGGATTCGAATCCTAACTCTGTCCCTGATGAAGCCGTGTGGACTTGGGCAAGTTACTTAATCTTTCTGTGCCAATTTCTTCCTCTGTAAAATGGGGATAAAAAATAATAACAACCTATCTCATAGGGCTGTTGGAAGGGTTAAGTCAACTAATGTATGTAAAATGCTTAAAACAGTATCTGACACAGAGAAAGCACTGATAAGCATTTACTATTATTACAATTATGCCCTGGATATAATCATCAAGTAATTCACTAGAAATACGTTATTTTTCCCTTTATTAGCAAATAACATTTAATGTAAGTTTACACAAAGAAGCAATTCTTTTCAAAGTCAGGGGAGGGACCCTTAGACACCCAGACTATCAAACGCACCTCCACAGCTCTCTGCATAGAGTCGCGAGGCCTTTAGCAGGACTGGGTTCCCAGGCGGTCCCCACACACAGGCCTATCCTGTATTCGAGTGCCTTGTCCCAGGTGTGCTGGGATGTGGAATGGGGTTGTATTTAAGCCTGGTCAGACTATAAGCAAATAATCTCTCCCCTTCTGCTCCTTTCCTCCTCGCCCAAATTCTCCGAAATAAGATCTGGCAACCCTCCAGCACTGTCACACACTATGCCCCTTGAATGAACACTTACCACAGGGAGAAAAAGAACCGCCATGAATGCAGATGTGAACCAAAGATGGTGTGGAAAAAGAACACGCAGAAGTACTGACATTTAAATCAAAGAAGCTTTTTATTACTTATTAATTTTTTTTACATTACTCAGCTTTTAAAGCATTATATACTATGGAAAATCTGATTAAATGTATATTAGTGGCAAAGCCAAAAAGAGGCTTCCCAAACCAGTCTAAATCATAAAAGCAACGGTGTAATGAGAAGCCCTGACATTTCTGGTCTTGGTATTTTCCACCTGTAAATGTAACTGAGACCTGAAGTAGCCTAACTGTGAAACGTATGGACTCAATACCCACCTTACAGGCCCAGATACAGGGAAGAAGTAGTAGCGAAGAGACAGTATGTCAGATCTGTCATTTCTGCACTGAAATGAAAATCAAAGATCTCCAAAGGGAGAGTAGGAAATTTTTATGTCTTCAAAATTTCAAAAGAAAATCACTAAACCAGGAAGATATTCTGCTGGGTTTACCTTCCACTAGTAAGAATTCTTGATTTTCAGTATATTAAGAAAAATCCAAGATAAAAATAATAAAGCCATAATGAGATTAATACCAATTTTCAGGGATATACTAAATACTTTGAAAGCTCTAAATTTTGCTTTTTCACCTGCCTCTTGATTATCCTTTTCCCTAATCTGGTAACTGGGTTTACAGGAGATCAAAGCTGAGATAAAGTGAACTCCAGGACTTTAGTTTAATGGTTAGAGGATAGCTGCTCTCTTTTGGGGGGCAACCCTGAAGTTGTTAGTCATCACACAACCTCTAAGGGAGCCAGAATGATACTGATCTGCAAAAAACAGCAAGAAGAAACAAAAAAAGGGGAGAAGGGGAAAAGCATGTGACAATGTAATTAAACTTGGAAATCTCATCTGCCTTTGTCATTTTCAGATATACCTGTTCTTGATTAATTAATTTCCTGTACTGTTTAAGCCACCTTGAGCTGTAGTTTCTGTCACACCTGCAAGCATCAATGCATCGATGTCTGCGTGTCTATGTCCTCACTGGACTGTTACATCCTACAGAACAGGATGATGCTTTTATGATCTTTGTACCCCTAGCACCTAATATGTAATCAATAATATGCTGTTGCCTGAATGAATCCACGACAGAACATAATGCCTCTATCTGATGACTCTAAATCAGGAACATCAGCTTTTGGTTTAATTTCATCCAGTTATTAGCATGTTTTATACAATTGTTTGCTTGCTACTCCTGTGCTTTTACTAAAACCTATGACTTACTTTAAGTCTTCAACTATATCTCTTCCCAGGAAATGTTAATACAAAGTGCTTCCTTTTTATCCTATTAAGTCAATTCCTGTGATTAGGACAATTGCCAAATGAAATTCAACATTTTTGCGGGGAAAAAAAATGCAAAGGAAAAAAACTCACAATTTTACTTTTAAAGGTAACTGAAAAGGTAGATTTGAGAAGGAAAAAAGAAAGTAGTTTATTACATTAATTAATCCAAAGGAGCCTAACAGACTTAAAGGACTTTCTTCAAAGTTCAAGAGAAATATTCCACAGAATTAAATCAACAGCCCTCCCCGCCTAAATCTTAGCACACCTAACTGGATACTGCAAACTCTTTCCAATTTTGAGAGTTTAGGAGTTTTTGGTAAAATTTTTAGACATGAAAGTGAAGAATACATCTTCCAGAGGATGGCAAACATAAAAACAAAACCTAATTGAGAAAAATAGGCAAGCCTAGAAGTAGAGATCACGACTAAACCAAGTAGGCCTGCAGAAAAATACAAACTAATACATGCAAAGTTCTCAGAATAAACATGACATATACTAAGTGGTAAAAAAATGTTAACTATTTAGTAGGCTGAAATGGCTCCAAGGATAGCCAGATGCTAATCTCTGAAACCTGTGAATGTTACCATATATGGCAAAAGGGTTTGCAAGTGTGATTAAATTAAGGATCTTGCAAGGGGGAGATTATCCTGAATTATCTGGGTGGGGCCTCTAAGTGTAATCACAAGTGTCTTTTTAACAGGAGGCAGAGGGGATCACTGCTCCATCTTGTGGCTAAGATCAAATGTAAGAGGAGGGAGAGGAAGACTGGAATGGCAATCCACTCCAGTATTCTTGCCTAAAAAATCCCCTGGACAGAGGAGACTGGCAGGCTACAGTCCAAAGGGTTGCAAAGAGTTGGACGAGACTGAGCGACTGAGCGCAGCACAGAGGGAAACTTGACTATAAGAAGGCAGGGAGCAAGATGCTATGTCGCTGGCTCTGACGATGGAGGAAGAGGCCAAGAATTAACAAATGCAAGGAATGTAACTCTAGAAGCCAGAAAAGGCAAGGAAACTGATTCTCCCTTAGAGTATTCAGAGGAAGAGCAGCCTCGTGAACACTCTGATCTGGACCCAATGAAACACACTCTGGACTTCTAAATACCAGAACATTAAAATTAAGAATAAATTTGTGGACCATCGACAGCCATGGCCGGTCCTGGGGCTGTTTTCTGCTGCCTGGGTGTCTTGTCCGGAGCTGGGGCCTTAGGCTTGGCCTCCTACGGGGCGCACAGAGCCCAGTTTCCGGATGCCTACGGGAAGGAGTTCTTTGACAAGTTCAACAAACACCACTTCTTATGCAGCCTGGCCATGTTAGTGGTAACCCTGTGCAGAAAGCCTAGGTTACTGCTCGCTTCTGGAACTACCTTACCTGCACCACTTTTTACTACCAGGCTCTGGGTGGAGACCCCAGCTTCCAGAATTTGGCGCCTGTGGGAGGGAGCCTGCTACTCTTGGGCTGGCTTGCTTTGGCTCTTTGAGCTTTCTTGTGTTTAATTTCTGTGTACTTTTTTTTTTTTAAAGAATTGGAGCAGGGAAGGAATTAAAAGAGAAAGGCAAAAAAAAAAAAAAAAAGAGTAAATTTGTGCTGTTTCAAGTCATCAAGTGTGGGACTTGCAAATGTAGCCACAGGAAATTAACACATGATTACCATCAACATTACTATGGTGTGACAGAGCTGACTAGCCATTCACAAAAAATCTGTGCTCTCCCTTTCACGGTAGGGAAGTTACTGCTAGAAGGCAATCAGCCAGTCAAAAGACAATTCCCTGTCAAGATGATGTGCCCAAGAGACTAGTTCTTGCCAACTGGATGTGGGCAAAAAAAAGCCCTTTTTCTGCTCTTTGTTTTCCCATTAGCAAACTACATGACACTGTGAGGTCCCAGAAAATGTGAGAAGTCTGGGTCTCTGAGTCATCATAAGAAAAATTTCATCCAACAACTTGAACATCTGCTCTAAACTATGACATAAACTTACAATAAAAACTTCAGTTCAGTTCAGTTGCTTGGTCGTGTCCGACTCTTTGTGACCCCATGGACTGTGGCACCCCAGGCATCCCTGTCCATCACCAACTCCCAGAACTTACTCAAACTCATGTCTATTGAGTCCGTAATGCCATCCAACTATCTCATCCTCTGTTGTCCCATTCTCCTCCTGCTTTCAATCTTTCCGAGCATTAGGGTCTTTTCAAATGAGTCAACTCTTCACATCAGGTGGCCAATGTATTGGAGTTTCAGCTTCAACATCAGTCCTTCCAATGAATATTCAGGACTGATCTCCTTTAGGATGGACTGGTTGGATCTCCTTGCGGTCCAAGGGACTCTCAAGAGTCTTCTCCAACACCACAGTTCAAAGCATTAATTTTTCGGCTCTCAGCTTTCTTCATAGTTCAATTCACATCTACACATGACTACTGGAAAAACCATAGCATTGACTAGATGGAACTTTGTTGGCAAAGTAATGTCTCTGCTTTTTAATATGCTGTCTAAGTTGGTCATAGCTTTTCTTCGAAGGAGTAATAGTCTTAGGCTGCAGTCACCATCTGCAGTGATTCTGGAGCCCAAGAAAACAAAGTCTCTCACTGTTTCCATTGTTTCCCCATCTATACGCCATGAAAAGATGGAACTGGATGCCATGATCTTTGTTTTCTGAATGTTGAGTTTTAAGCCAACTTTTTTTCACTTTCCTCTTTCACTTTAATCAAAAGGCTCTTTAGTTCTTCTTCGCTTTCTGCCATAAGGCTGGTGTCATCTGCATATCCGAAGTTACCGATATTTCTACGGGCAATCTTGATTCCAGCTTGTGCTTCATCCAGCCTGGAGTTTCACATGATGTATTCTGCATATAAGTTA